CAGAGGAGAACTTGGAAACTAACGTGATTGTGCTCTAGGGAAGGTTGAGATGAACATCAAGCCCTTTGTAGAAATTTGAAAAAAATTTTGAAAGAGATACACAATGTTTCTTGCTGGACTGAAGAAAAAACAAAGAAAGAAATGTTAACTCCTGTAATGTGAAGAAATGGAGAATAATGAACAAAAACAAAGTGCTGGAAAAGCTCAGCAGGTCTGGCAGCATCTGTGAAGGAGAAAACAGAGTTAACGTTTTGGGTCCGGTTCTGAGGAGGGTCACTGGACCCGAAACGTTAACTCTGTTTACTCCTTCACAGATGCTGCCATACCTGCGGATCTTTTCCAGCACTTTGTTTTTGTTCCTGAATTACAGCATCTGCAGTTCTTTTGGTTTTTAAATGGAGAATAATTTTATGACAAGGATGAGGATAACAGTTCCTCTGCAGCCTCGATACATTCATGGAAATAGAATGCTGGCTGGTTGGGATTAATGTTGTTAGCTGTTTTTTTGATTGGTACAGACCCAATGGGCTGAAGGGCCTTTTTCTGTGCTGTAGACCTCGATAACTTGGGGTTGTTAGTGGAGATCATTTTGAATGTATCATTTTCGATGATTTGCAGTGTATACAGAACAATTTGGTTGGTCCACGTTGTAACATGCACCTTCAGTCAGTGAGTGTGAGAGTATGAGTGAGAGAGGGAGAATTATTCATCAAAGGATTAATTGTGTCCTTCTCAGTTACTGATAAACTTCATATAAACATGTTCCATCCACTTTTGTCCTCTCGGTGAGCAGTTTCTTCCCATTTCTATACTTAACATCTCGCTGAGGTATGGCTGTTGAAACTATCTTACAGCATGATCTGAGATAACAAGGTGTAGAGCAGGATGAACACAACAGGCCAAGCAGCATCATAGGAGCAGGGAAGCTGACGTTTTGGGCCTAGACCCTTCTTCAGAAATGGGGGAAGGAAAGGGGGTTCTGAAATAAATAGGGAGAGAGGGCGAGGCGGATAGAAGATGGATAGAGGAGAAGATAGGAGGAGAGGAGACAGACAGGTCAAAGAAGCAGGGATGGAGCCAGTGAAGGTGAGTGCAGGTGGGGAGGTAGGGAGGGGATAGGTCAGTCCAGGGAGGACGGACAGGTCAAGGGGGCGGGATGAGGTGAGTAGGTAGGAGATGGGCGTGGGGCTTGAGGTGGCGGAGGGGATAGGTAGGAGGAAGGACAGGTTAGGGAGGCAGGGACAAGCTGGGCTGGTTTTGGGATGCGGTAGGGGGAGGGGAGATTTTGAAGCTTGTGAAATCCACATTGATACAGCATGATCTGTTTGTTTGTCTGGATTGTAACTTTGAAAATGCCCTTATTCAATGAAGATTTAATGCTGTTCCTGAGTGTCTATTTCAGATGACCATTCAGTCTATCCATCTTCAAAACCAGTGTCAATGTCAATGGGCTACATACCTGCTGATTGTTGGAAGCAGCTAGTCACACTTGGCTTTGTACCAAGGAAATATAATAACATCCTGGTCCTTCAATATTTGCCTGGAGGAAGACAGAAGACACACCTCCTGTAAATCAACATACAGAAAGTTTGGCAATATTGAACAAATCAACATAACATTAAGTTCATAATCATTAGGATGTGTTTTTTTTTTAAACTAGCAATTTGAACAGAACCAGAGGTCTTATTCCCTGTTGCCCAGAGCTGCTCCTTGTCTGGGGATTCGAACTATTTTTTTTCCGAAATAATTCGATACCAACTGAGTGAGATCCAGAAACTGAGCAACAACTGCACAGCTCCACACATGTGGCTAACCGAAACAACAGGTCTGCATACACAGTTCAATATCCAGCTCCCAACACACTAACTGTTAAATGGAAGAACAAAGGGCGCTATTTTAAATGTCTCAGTTGATAAATTTAATCTGGTGACTCAATTAACTGTCCTTTTCAGGGTTATAACATTCTTCTAGTCTGTGTTTCCACTGTTCACGGCACAATGTCCAAAAACAGTGTGAAACAGAAGCCAAGCAGTGAATTTGCATCAGCGTTCAGAGATTTGAAAACCACGAGAATGACCCCTCCCCTCCCAGCAGCTTCTTGCCGCTGCGTCTCCCTCAGCAGGCCCACACACATCCCGAGAAAAGCCTCTCTCTTTCCCCCAGGCCGCTCACTCCAAGTTCAGGGACAAGTTCCTGCTCCACTCGGCCTCTTACAAAGAGCCCCCGATTCTCCCTGAACTGAGCCCGATTCAGTGTCGGTCTCGGAGCACCCTCTGTGTCCTGCTGGAAGGAGCCTGCTGTTCCCTCGCTTCCCTGGGCGCTGGTTTCTCCATTGCGGTCTGTTTCAAACAAACCTCTTCCACTCACTGAGTAAATGCTCCTCAATGGCAGCGCTGGGGGAGAGCCTCACGTATATGCGCTCCTCTGGGTTGTGTGTTACCATGGGAAATGCAGGGTTACAGGGAAAGGGCGGGGGGATGGGTCTGGTTGGGATGCTGTTCAGAGGGTCGGTGTGGACTTTTATTTGGGCCGAAGGGTCTGTTTCCACACTGTAGGGATTCTATGATGATTCTATGAAGTGTGCTGAAGATTAGGCGCATAAATGTGAACTATATGCCAATGTTTTGTTCTACTCATGTAACCTCCCTTACTGTTTTCATATAGAATAAAAGTTAGAGCATAATTTTGAATGCTCGGATTTCCTCCCACAGTCCAAAGGTGTGCAGGCTAGGTGGATTAGCTAGCTAAATTGCTCGTATTGCCCGGGAATGTTTAGGTTAGGCGTGTTAGACATGGGAAATCAAGGGTACGGGAATAGGTCTGGGTAGGGTGCTCTTCAGAGGGGCGGTGTGGACTTGTTGGGCCAAATGGCCTGGAGGGATTCTACGTCTGGCAGCATCTGTGAAGGAAAAACAAAGTTAACAGGTGACCCTTGCTCAGAATTGAAGGTGGCTGGGAAAACATCAGGTTATATGCAGAAAAAAAGGGGAGGGGGATGGGGTCGGGAGTAAACGATAGATAGAGCCTAAAGAGAGAGAACAGCATTTAGACAGACAAATAGTTGATATTGATCAGGCTGGGAGGTTGAATAGTACTTAATGGGAACTGTTAGTGATTAACAGTAGGTGGTGGTAATGGCAGGATATGTGGTAACAAGGCCTTGTGTGGGGTAGAGTTTAGGCCCAAAAATTATTGAACTCGATATTGAGCCCAGAGGGCTGCAGGGTCCCCAAGTGGAAGATGAGGTGTTGTTCTTTTCGCTTGTGTTGAGCTTCCCTGGAACACTGCAGCAAGCCAGAGACAGAGATGTTGGACAGGGAACAGGGTCGTGCATTAAAGTGGCAGGCAACAGGTAGTTTGGGGTCTTTTTTGTGAGCAGAATGTAGATGTTCTGCGAAATGATCTCCCAGTCTATGCTTCGTTTCACAACTGGGTGTTTTAAGAGGATTTGGACAGTCTTCGTTAATGGGCAAGAGTAATGCAGACTTTTCAAAGAAAAAAAATGCCGGATTGGGTACCACTGGCTGGTCTGAGCATTGATTGCCCCTCCCGAATTGCCCTTGAGAAGGTGGTAGTGAACTGCCTTCTTGAACTGTTGCAGTCTCTGAGCTGTAGGTAGACCCACATTGCCATTACGAAGGGAATTGCAGGATTCTCTCCGATTGACATAGAACAATGGCCAATATATTTCCGTGTCAGGATGGCGAGTGGCTTGGAGAAGATCTTGCAGATTGTTCAGTTCCCATGTACCTGCTGCCCTTGTATTTCAAGATGGAAGTGGTCATGGGTTTGGAATGTCCTGCCTAATTTAATACTTGAGAGAGTGGATGTTTGGAATGTGGTGCCAATCAAACAGGAGCAGTTTTTCATGGATAGTATTTTGCTTGCTGTGTGTTGTTGGAGCTGCACTAACACAGGTGATGGGGGCCATAGAGGGGAAACCTTTACACTACGGACTTGAATGTTGGAGATTTTGGACAGGTTTGAGAAGTCAGGAGGTAAGTTACTTGCTGCAGTATCTGTAGCCTTGGACCTGCTCTTGTAGCCACTGTATTTATCGGGCGAGTCCAGTTCAGTTTGTGGTTCATGGTAGCTCCCAGGATGTTGTTAGTGGAGGATACAATGATGCTGAGGCCCAGGTCAAAGGATGCCTTACTGCACAAGTCTGTGATGCAGTTTTACACTCACACACTATTCAGATTTGTTTTCGCCTCCATCCACCCTAATAGTAAGCTCCATCACTACAACCCCCAATCCCTAATCTCTCTGGTATTGTATTGGTTGTTATGAGTGATGGTGACCAGAATTGGACATGGAGCAGTGATCCTGAAAACAATCCTCCTGTATTACAGTGAAGGCAATCACTATTCCTTCTCCTCTCTGAAAGTCTGACCAGGCACCCACTCACCTTGACCAGTGGTTAGCTACCATCCATCATGCTGAGGAACTCCACGATCTGTGTGTCGGTGTTTACTGTTGAACTCCTGAACTCTGGTTGATATTGAGATCTACTGTTTGCTGTCAGGGCAAGAGAAGCAAATACAATTAAATCACTGGCCATGCTCACTGAAACGAAGGCCAAGCCCAAAGCGAAAGTGACCAAGAAAGCAGCAAAGACATGAACCAGTCGGTGCAACATCTAACCATCTGAACCGAAAGGCTCTTCTCAGAGTCACCCATATCTCTCAGGAAAGAGCTGAGTCCGGATCAAATGATCCCTGTCCCGGCGTCAAGTTTAGACATACATTAGATATTAACTGATTTGAATAACTTTGAATAACTTGAATAAATTGATTTGAACGTCCGTGCCGTGATTTACACCCAGCCCCTCTCCCACATTCAGCAATAAATCAGAGTGATGTCCCCCTCTAACTGTCACTGAGCATCGGTTCAGGCGCAGTCCCTGTTCATCTCCGGTTCCTTTTCACATATTAAGGGTAAGAGTCTCTAAGAGAGTAATACTGGCGCAGAAATCCCGCTTCACAACACAATCCCAAGAAATGCCTCAGTCTGATTCAGCTGGAGGAACAGAATCTGACATTGAAATGGAAGCGGCCGTGTTTTCTTGTTAAAGAAAGACCGGAACATGGGCGTTTAATTGTAATACAATTGCTTTTAAAATATCCAGTTTTTACTACCTTTGAACGTGAAGCTTGAGTCTGCAGAGCATTATGTTCACTGCCCTTGTGGAGAAAAGGTTTAATTACAGATCCATTTCGGACCGGAGTTAGCTGGAGGTGGAGCTGGACATTTCTCTGTCACTCAGTTTCCTCTCGGGGCCGCCTCTCACACTCTGTCAGCTCTTTCTCAGTCAGGTCGGGGCGGGCTGTATAAAAAAAGGAAGGTAAGGCAGCTCGGCTCTCATTCAGCAGCGATTGGAGTTAGAAAGCGTGATGTCTGGAAGAGGCAAAGGAGGCAAAGGCCTGGGAAAGGGTGGAGCGAAGCGGCACCGCAAAGTGCTCCGTGATAATATCCAGGGCATCACGAAACCAGCCATCCGGCGCCTGGCTCGCCGTGGCGGGGTCAAGCGCATCTCGGGCTTGATCTACGAGGAGACCCGCGGGGTGCTGAAAGTTTTCCTGGAGAATGTGATCAGGGATGCGGTCACCTACACTGAGCACGCCAAGCGCAAGACGGTCACTGCCATGGATGTGGTGTACGCTCTGAAACGCCAGGGCCGCACTCTCTATGGATTCGGCGGCTGAGCAAATCGACCCTTCTCCAGCGAACCCAAAGGCTCTTTTCAGAGCCACCCAAAGTTTCCGATTGAGAGCGGAGACCCGAGGACGGACAAAGCAGCGCATAGGCCGAGAATAGTGTACTTCAGCTGGTTATTTCGCATCTTTAACGAATTTTAATTTGGCTTAATCCTTTTCAAAAATGTACACTTTCGATCCTGCGTTACGGGAGAAATTTTTCTAATCAAAAATATCCTTACAATACACAGGTTTTTCGACCACTCGACATTATACTAGTTGTGTCACATTGCAGCCAAGATACAGAGGCAGCATTCGGCCATTCTTCCCATCCAGTCGGCTCTGTCATGCGATCATGGTTGGTATGTTTCTCAACCGTATTGAACCTTATCGCCTTAACCTTTGATCCTCTTTCTATCTCGTTAATAATACCAGTATGTGTAGTTGGCTGTCCATGCCATGTGTTTTTTCATAAATTTTGGGATCCAGACCTCAATACTTCATATTGCGGTATTTCAGTGAACCTTCCAGGGAGGATACTTTGTTCAGTTTTGATTCTAGCAGCCGTACCGATTTTTTAGTGGCGTGTTCTTTCCATCTGCCTGTTACAGACAGCTCCGGCAGCAATTACAAATTGTGTTCGGGCTAACTATAATCTGGGTGAAATAAAAATGTAGCGATAAAGTGATATTCTGTATTTTTATCGGCGTACACTGTAATTAGCTTTTAAGCTGTATAAATCGGCGGTTTTTTTAGATTAACGGTGGTTACACATTCGGTTGATCAGTTTGTCTGGGCTGTATTAAATCCAACGCTTTCCTCCTGCCCATTACAGACAGATCAAAAAAAAATCCTGAGTCCTGTCCGTGCTTGACTGCAAGCTAGGTTTAAAAGAAAATTATGTAATGTATAAGATGTAATTTTAGTTGAAGACGAATGGTGTTTTTCGTCTTTATTTATTTACTCTCAGGGTGAAATCGGCAGGCTATTCGAAATTGGTAAACTGTGATTTCAAATTAACCAATCAGCCTTCAACAACTGTTTTACTGCCTTTTCCGTACCTTCCGGAGCTGTTTATCAGTGGGTTGAGGGACGGGACTGTATCCAATCCCAGCTCTAAGGCGGGCTCTTCATTCCCTTAAATAGGCAGCACCGCAGCAGGCTCAGCATTGATAGCAGCAGCCTATGTGTGTTTTACAGAGAGTGGAAGAAAATAGCCAGAACCAAGCAGACAGCGCGCAAATCCACCGGAGGGAAAGCTCCCCGCAAGCTGCTGGCGACCAAAGCAGCCCGCAAGAGCGCTCCGGCCACGGGCGGAGTGAAGAAGCCTCATCGCTACAGGCCCGGCACGGTGGCTCTGCGGGAGATCCGCCGCTACCAGAAATCGACCGAGCTGCTGATCCACAAACTGTCCTTCGAGCGCTTGGTGCGGGAGATCGCTCAGGACTTCAAGACCGACCTGCACTTCCAGAGCTCGGCCGTGATGGCCCTGCAGGAGGCCAGCGAGGCTTACCTGGTGGGGCTGTTTGAGGACACCAACCTGTGTGCCATCCACGCCAAGCGAGTCACCATCATGCCCAAAGATATCCAGCTGGCCCGCCGGATCCGTGGCGAGCGCGCCTGAACGGAATCTGCACATTAACCCCGAGAAACACAACGGCTCTTTTCAGAGCCTTTAAACCAGCCAGAGTGAGCAGCAATCAGTAGGGACCCTTGCTTGTTTTATAATACACCTATGCTTTTCTGTTGTTGCGCTCCATCGTTTCGGCTGTTATTAAAGAAATTGAATCAGACTGAGAAGTGCATTTGTCACATTAATTTGAAGACAAAATTCAAGCAGCGGCAGCGAAGTTAGAAATTGATCGCAGAACATAACTGAAGGTTCCGTGTATACATGAGATATATGATTGACAGAAAGCAACAATCGGTAGGCGCTATTTCCTTGTTTAATGTAAACACACAGCGTGCTGTTGCTGCAGTTTGTCAATGCGGCAGCAATTACAGGAACTGAATGGGTCTGGGAGATGCGGTCATGCCACGACAAAAGTTATAACTTGAGATTTTAGCAGTCGTCACAAAGTACAATTTGAAGTAGTGGACTCCGTGTCTGCAAAAGCTTACAAATTCCCGATAAAACGCCTCTGTGTGCCCATTGTCTCGTTTGGTATTTCCCGAGCTATAACTGTAAATTTCAAAAGATTTTAAAGTATAGGGCACACAATCTCTCTTTTTCCCCTTCCAGTATACTTCGGTACATGCTCTTCGGAGGGTCGATTCAGACTGGAAGGGCCTCTTTCTGCGGTGGAGGCTTTCCATGAGGTTGTTCCCTGTCAGCGTATTAATAGAAACACCCCCTTTAGCTATTATTTATATGTCCCTGACCCTTACTGCAAAAATCACCAAATTTACTATTCCAGTCAGACAGCTGTTGTAGTTTTATCTTGGCTCATTCTGAAAGTCTTTAAAAAAAAAAACAAAAAATCTCAGTTACAGCAATCTCATTAGAGGGCCGATCTTTACATTAAAAGAACGAATAGGCTACTAGTGACCGTCTAGCTTCTTTTCACTGATGTTGTGGGTGGCTCTGAAAAGAGCCTTTGGGTTGTCAAATGAAATAACGGTCTCTTCACTTTTTAGTGGCGCCCCCAGCGGCGGTTTTCTTGGGCAGCAGCACGGCCTGGATATTAGGCAGCACCCCACCCTGAGCGATGGTCACCCCTCCCAACAGCTTATTGAGCTCTTCGTCGTTGCGCACGGCCAGCTGGAGGTGCCTGGGGATGATGCGGGTCTTCTTGTTGTCCCGGGCCGCGTCACCGGCCAACTCGAGGATTTCAGCCGTCAGATACTCGCACCGCAGCCAGATAGACCGGCGCTCCGGCACCCACACGCTCAGCATAGTTACCCTTTCTCAGGAGTCTGTGAACACGGCCCACCGGGAACTGCAGGCCAGCCCGGGACGACCGGGACTTCGCCTTGGAGCGAGCTTTCCCACCAGCGCCCTTTCCTCTCCCAGACATGGACACAACGTCACAAACACTTTCACAGAGAATGTTGCAATGCGCCCACATTCCGGCCTCTTAAATCTTCGGGAGGAATGGTGGTGCGGCCATTGCTGATTGGTCACATTGTTCAGCAGCTCCTAATATAGTTTCAATTCCCAATCAGATATCTGCTTCACTCACCAATCCAGAGAGGGCCCGGGGAGGAGGCCGGAAAATACCGGCGCCAAATCATCAACCGCTTTCATTCTGATTTGAAAAGCCCGCCAATACGTACAAAACAGAAGTCGATTTACAAAGAAGAATGCGTTCATACTTCTGATAATTTACTTTTAGAATACACCTGTATACTTCACACCATCTCTCTCTGATTCCCTGACCGAGCTGAATCGTCTATTTCTGATCTTGTTTTTTTGCCCTGAACCTTAAGAATAAGCGGAAGGAAAAAAGGAGCCCGCCGAAAGTTATTCTCTGCACAGATTCATTTTATTTCACATCAGCACCCGGATATATTGATAAAAGTATCACACAACTATTTCTTTCTCGTTGAGCGCATTACTGCTTTAAACAATACTTTACAATCGCACTCCCTATTGCTCGAGATCAACAATATTTCTACTTTTGCGATGCCAGACCGGCAGCTGTTCTGCTTTCATCTCAGTGCACTTTGAAATTTTCCCGCCGACAGCAGAAAGCCTCTTTTATAGCTTTCTGCAAAACCGGATAGAACGCGCGGGGAGATTTGAAAATAAAACAAAATTCCTTTGCGTGGAAACCGTAGGAAAATACCGGCGCCAAATCATCAACCGTTTACTTTCCGATTTGAAAAGCCCGCCAATATGGACAATACGAAGAAGACGTTTTACAAAGAATAGTGTATAAATGATTACGATTTAATTTCCTTTTAGATTACAAATGGATTCTTCACATAAACTCTCTTTCTCACTCCCTAAGCAACACCGGCTTCCGAAAATTTTGTAAAGTGGCCCTCACTTATTGTGCTAGATTAGACTTCACTGTTAATCTCGGTTCATTTTGAAAGCCTCTCACCGACAACAGGAAGCCCCACGTACTGCTTTCTGAAAATAAATTCGGATAAGTTCACGTCGAGATTTGGAAATTGAAACAAAACAGAAATCGCACGATACTTCTATTCGTAGGTTTCAAATACGGGGTCATTTATTTTCGTTGCCACGGGAGAAATTTAGGGTCCATTACCCACCGGGACAAGTTTTAAAAACCCTCCAACATGTACGAAATTGGAAAAAGTTTTACAAAGAGGAATGAATAATTTAATTTTTCTTTGAATTTAATTCACTTTCACATTACAAGTGCACCCTGCTATATTTATAAAACCTCACATAACGTTCTTCCAGGTGAGCGTGTTTAACTATTCGTGGGACTCGAACAGTTACTTTTCTTTCCTGAGGGTGAAACTCGTGTTTCATACCCAACGGGGCACTGTAGCTTCTGCCCTGATCATGGGTTAAAGAGTAACTGGAAAATATAGAAGTTGCTGAAAAATGACTCCGTGACGATAAACTCACCTGGAAGAACGTTATGTGAGGTTTTACAAAGATAGCAGGGTGCACTTGTAATGTGAAAGTGAAGTAAATTCAAAGAAAAAATAAATTATTCGTTCCTCTTTGTAAAACTTTTTCCTATTTCGTACACGTTGGAGGGTTTTTGAAACTTGTCCCGGTGGGTAATGAGCCCTAAATTTCTCCCTTGGCAACGAAAATAAATGACCCCGTATTTGAGACCCACGAATAGAAGTATCGTGCGATTTCTGTTTTGTTTCAATTTCCAAATCTCTACGTGAATTTATCCGAATTTATTTTCAGAAACATCTATCATTTTCAGAACATCTATGTTCTGCTCGCACAAAAGACCCCAAACTACCTGTTGCCTGCCACTTTAATGCACCACCCTGTTCCCTGGCCGACATCTCCATCTCTGGCTTGCTGCACTGTTCCAGTGTTCCAGCTTGTTCCACAACCTAGAAGAACAACACCTTA